CGTGTACGCCACGTGCCATGGGCGGCACGGACGCGCGCGCGCGCGCACACGCACGCACCTTCGCCACTTTTTTCCACGCGATTTTACGGGGATCACCGTCGTCCTCCTCTGTCCGACGGTCGCGTTTACTCGCCTCTCGTTACGGTCCAGATTACGAGCATTCGCGTTGAACGATTTACCGCGAAACTTCCGAGCTCGTATTTCCGAGGCATCGAAGCTTCGGAGGATGCGTCACAGTCCAAGCGAGTAAAATTCTATAGGCGTGCTGCCCGCATCTCTCCGCTTGGAGACACCGAGTTTCGACACTTTTCAAGGCAAACGAGCAAAAACACACCCCCCTTCGCGTACGATCCGTTTGAAGAACATTTCCAATCGGACGATCCCTCGACTCCTGGCTGCAGCCTAGAATTTCCGAGAAGCTCGAGGTTTCAAAATCGACGCTGAGGAATGAGAACCACTGGAGCCCCCGTGGCCTGCGCCACTGTCCTCCGGTGGGCCCCTTCTAGGGTAACACGAAGGGGGGCACTGACAGCGACAGCTGCCGCTGCTGCTGCTGCTACATTCCCCTCTCTCTTTCTGTCTCTCGGTCCCTTTTACCAAGCCGTGGCTCTCTCTCGGTCCCGCGGGGCCCGTTGCCACCGCAGTATCTCCCCACCATGGGGCCCCATGGTCGCGTGGCAGCCAGCCTTCTCCTCCACAAAATACACCTTCGCCGTTCCGTTTACTCCCAAACGCCGCAACGGACGGTCTCCTCTCTTTTCTCTCTCTCTTTCTCTCTCCTCCCCTCTCTCTCCACTACAGAGCGGTACGTCGTTTCTTTTAAGCGTTACGCTCGAACCAGCCTCGTTCCTTCTCGCGAATCGGCCAGGCCGAGTGGAGTTTTCGCGTTGATACAAGCACCGGTCCCACCAACTGGCCCGGTGTTTCTTTTCACCGATCAGACTGTTCGATGGTCCTGCTATCTTCCAGTTCCGGAAAGTAACGGTAGTCGAGAATGTTTGTCCTTCTCGTTTACACCTCGACCACGCGGCTACCGGTGCCTCGAGCTTCTCACTCGAGGTTCACGTCGTCGAGGGGCTGGTGCATTCTTTTTTAGCTAGCCTCGAATCAGGGTGTAAAACGAGCGTATAGAACGTCTGGATGGATGGTGGCTAACGTTGTTCGTGCCCAGGGCCGTGGGATCCGGTACGCGTATAATGCCCTGCGGTTTTAGGGCCGGCGAACAAGGTGGGATATTATATGTGGAAGTGCTAGCTCCACTGTGTGGCCTTGCCAGGGCGAGCTTTCGAAATTCTCTACTCTCGAGAGAGAGGACACGGGAACCTACATAGAAACCCTTCCGAAACCGAGCATTCTGAAGAAGATCTTTCGCGTGGTAACAATGTAGAGCCATCCGAATGAAGCAACGTGAAATAATAATTACAGTATCTTGAAACAGAAAAAGAGACGGTATGGATGAATGAAGAGCAGAGTTGCCAGAGCAGTGATTCGGTTGAGCACCAGTGGCTACCTGAGTTCTTTTTCACATTTTTTTCGTCTTTCTCCACTGGTCTCCTATTCTTCCTCCCTCTGGTAGAGGTGTGCGTACCCCCTCTACCATTGGGGTCGAGGGCCCCAAGGGTGGCAAACCCTCGCCTTTCCTCCCCCTCTCCATTCCCTATTCTCTGCTGCCCGCCAACTTCTTTTTTCCTCGCTCGTCTCTACTCTCTTTCTCTCCCTCTCTTTCACCGTCGTTTTTACCTGCGAGAGAACCTGGAACACCCTTTTGGGTCGCGTGGCACCGTGCACCGGCACGGTACACACGCGAATTCTCCCATAGAAATAGCTCGTTGGGGTGCGTGGGTCTGCACGGTGGCAGTCCACGTATCGGGTGTCTCGCAAATATCAGCGGGAGAAAAATATTCTTCTTCTTCCTTGCTCGTTCAACTGGTCGAATTTCCACGAGAGAATCCTCTCTCTCTCTACCTAACCATTTTTCCATTTCAATCTTTCGAGAGGATCTATTTGCGAGGGAAATGTCAGCACGGCGTATTTCTGGTTTCTTCAGAACGACCATTAAAATTTACGCACGGGTGTAAAAATGTGCGGCGGTTATTCGTCGTGGAAGATAATCGAATTAAGCCTTTCCAAGACGCGAGCGCGCGCGCGCAGGTGTTCCATTATTTCTTTCACCGTTTTTACAAGCCCCGCCTTTGTCGCGGCTCATTCCGCCGGATTTTTCGTGACGTTCGGTTTAATCGTCGCTTCGCGGCAGGTGGCGATGCTAGACCGTTCGATTTACCATCAGAATCTCCAAAGTAATCTCTCCCCCTTTTTTTCACCTTTGCAAAATTACCATACACACTCTCTCCGTATTTCACTGTGGGAACGAAAAAGTCTAAGTTTCACGGGAGGAGGAGTAGGAGCATCTTGCGAGGTACCCACGCGGATCAGGCGTCGATGATCATTTTTCGAGAAAGGGGGAAAGATTCTCGAACAGGCTGGACAAAGTACAGTCACTCAATCCTCTGTCGTGTTAAGCATGTTCGATCGAGCGTGTGATCGCCTGTATTTTAACCCTAAATCTTGAAAAATTCGTCGTCGTTGATTAAACCCATCTCGGTTACATGTTTTTACACCGCTCGTTCTTCAAATTTCGTCCGTTTCGTCGGTTAAATTAAAGACGCGCGAGATAAGTCTAAAGGGCTGCTATTTTCCGGAACCCCGATATGCAGATAAGTCCCGCCTTGTCCCTCTGGACCGTTCTTTTTTTTTTTATGTCCCCACTTGTTTTTCCACGCTCCGCATTGCACAGGTTTTTTTTACGAGATCGTCAACGCTGAAAGTGTCTGCCTTTTTCGCGGCGGGTAATGTTCGTCGATATTTCCCCTCGTCGTTCCTCCCGCCTCGGTGTCCGCGCGATTTAATTGATCCGCAGAGATTCGTGCTGTTTAACGGTCGTCGAGAGAAAGATCTACACAGTCTGCGTAGATTTTCCTTCTTTCTTTCTTTCTTTGTTTTACGAATAAACGATTCGTTTCTCAACGGTGGCATTTAGCGGCGAGTGAGGGCTGTTTGCGAGGTAGCAACACCACCATCGCGGAGGGTAAATAATTTTCGGTAATTCTAATTCGATGGTGTCGCGCTGATATACGACGCCGAGCGTAGGCTGACCACCGAATCGCGGTCGTGTCTCGTGCGCTGAAAATCGTCGGTCGACGCGGTTTTCGAGGTTGTGTCGCGCATTTCGCGAGCTGTAATGCCGAATTGATGCTGGTCGAAATCCGTGTAGATGGTATCGCGGCGACCAGCTGTAACGCGCAATTCACCATCGATACCTCTGCTGTACCCGTTTCTCCTTCCAACGGGAAAAAAGCAAAATAAAAAGAAACGAAGGAAAGAAATTATTCCACGTTGGAACGATTAATCTGCCTCGAAGACATTTACGTATCGATGGTAAAATCGCTGGGCGTTTCGGTATCGGTGGAACACCGGAGACAAGTGTATCGAAACTTTTGGTAGACATTGTAGCTATCGGGAGAGTGTTGTTTCCACGTTGGTGGAAACACAGTCGGTTCACAAGTCGGACAAGGGCAGCAACAGCAGCAGCTCCGGAATCTCGTCGAGCAGCGGCCTCGCCCGGGGAATCCGTGGTAATTCTTCATCGGGCAATATTCGATAGAGGTGACGGTGGCAGGAGCGAACGTGGAAGACGAACTAGTCGTGACACGAAGGCCCGGTGCTCAACACTACGTCATAACGGTCGAGCTGGCTTGCACCGGCTCTGAGGATGACACGATGGACCATGGTTTAGCTTGTCCTTTGATGCATGATATTGCAGACTCGGTACTGCACGCTTCGGCAAACATGTCACGAGCAAGCCGAAACTGTTAGGATTCATAGTTATCTCGGCCGATCTAGCCGTAGTCGGACACTCGCCCTATCGTCCACGCACGGCTATATCCGTCCTCTCTAATATGATATACTCCTTCTGCGTTGCCCTTTTCCCTCGTGCCAGTTATCGGCCAGCTGGACTTTCCGTCCTTACGACTTTGATAAGAGCGTACCGTTTAGCGAGGCTGTTCTACCAAAGTGACCGAATCACCAGGTGAATTGCTCGGAATAATTAATATTCCTCTACCGAGCCAACGGTTGGTTACTAAGCAGAGAGTAGCGTGAATTTTCAACGAACGGAAATTTCTTAATAATGCACGGATCGGTGAAAGTTTCATCTGGAAGACGTGACTTTGTGGATTCTCTTCCAAGTTGTACATCTATCATTTGTGAAAATTCTGTCATTCGCAGAAGTAGCTATAGAGGATATCGAGAAGAGTAGGGGGAGGGGGTTTCGATCGTTCTTCCTGTCAGGCTCTCGTGTTTGCTTCATTTCGAGGGGAATGATGTTCGAAGACGATCGAAGGGTGAAGGAGTAGGGGCACGAGGTCCAATAATAGGGTGTAACGATAAAATATCGTCGAATTAAAATTAATCCGAATTCTACCGTGGCGGTTTTCGAGGCCGGTAAATCCAGCCGATCCTCATAAATTCTTGGCAAGACACGCGCACGTAGATTCACGCTCTCGTCTCTCTCTCTGCATGCTCGCGTACGTATATATATATACGGGGTGGGCATTAATAACGGATGAAGCCCCGACTGCGGCAACCTCGTAATGTTTATCTCGTTGTTTATTCCGCGTACGTCGCAGCCGCAACGCGGAAAACGCGTACATGGGATTCTTAACGCGATCGCGGTTTTGATTTATAAAGACGCGCCGCGAATTTATGCCCGGCATTAATTTTGCATCGACCACGCTGCCACGCGCGTTCCTACGCCACTAGCATCTTCTTCTTCTTCTTCTCGTTCTTTTGTGCCTGGAGAATATTGCACGCTCTTAGGATTATTATCGATACTTCCAGTCGCCTCTAACAGGTCCTGAAAAATTATTACGAAATTTATCACTTTCTCCCCGAGTGACGAATGGATATTAATACGGGCATGTTGCTCTTCTTTTCTGTTGCAGAGAAATTAGGCTTCCAGTCGCCGTATGGCCCCACGATGGACAATGGAATGGTGAGTGATTTTTCTACTTTTATCCGATAATTACAGTTAGAACGAACGACATTACGGGGTGAATTCAAGCTCCCTTTTCCCCCCATCCAGTTGACCAGCTCGAATCTTAAGATAAAGCAGGATTACGCAAGGAACAGGAGCGCTATAATTATTGCAGTCGTAGAGGCAAATTTATCCGGGAAAAAGTTACTCCCTTTCTTCTTCCCTCTTCCTCTCTTTCTCTCTCTCTCTCCCTCCCGACCACCCTCTACATAATCCGAAAACTTTAGTCCGAGTAATATTTTTGGCAAGCGGTTCTCATCGTGCTTAAAATTTTCCGCTAAAAACAGTCTCCGTGTAGCTTATCTCTAAAGCTGGGATTTCATTTCTTTACTTCTTCCGTGGAACAAAAGGGAACAGCATCGTTGAACGTTCCTTAAAATTTCCCGCTTCCTCCCTCTCTCTCTTCGAAATTCCAAACTGCACCCATTTAAAGGTGATTTTTTTCACGCACGATGACTGATTTTTCCTGCTTTTTTTTTCCACCAAGATTAATTCCCCGAGCGGTCACAGAGGACCTTTTGTCCCGGAAATAAGAATTACCCAATTTCGCGAGGGTTGAGCGTCGTCAACCTCCGGCTTTAATATCACTTACGTTCTCCCTCGTTCGCGACCATGTATTTATACGCTTGTGTAGGTGTACATGCTCGCGTATATACATGTATTAATATACGTATATACATTATATAAAACAAAGGAACCTTGGTGGGTTGTAGGGGGATAAGCGAGCTCGAGTGAAAAGTTATCCTTGAATTATTTTCCTCCTCTGTATGTTATTTTAATCGTCTGTTTCTTTCGCTTTCGCAACGATTGTCCATTGAGCGATTTAGAAGATTATTTATAGAACGCGCAATAGAAAGCCGACCTTACACCCGCATTCATCGCGAACTCTGGCTCTATATTATCGCGGTATTTTTAATTGTCTCATTACGACGGCCTTTCTTTTATCGGCAATTAGCATAGCCATGGGCGGAGAACCTTGCGAGGAAATTAGCGGATCTTATCCTCCGTGGAAATAGTGGTGTCGCCTTCGAAACGAGGTTTTCCCCTTTTCGATTCTGTTAGGTAAAAAGAAAAAAGCAGCAGCAGCGTGCACGCGAATGGTCGGTGAGAGGTTTCTACGAAGAAGATAGCAGAGATTTTTTCATGGCGCCAGGGAGCAGTATCTAATCGGCAGTCGTTAAACCGTGACTGATAAGGAGTATTGATTTTGGTGGGTTTATTGAAGCTGCCTTCCATTCTCGTTTCTTTCGCTCTCGTCCACCTTCTTCCTCGTGTGTCTCGTTCGACGATCGTCGTTACTCGTCCCTTACATTCAGCTATGGGTTTTTCATTCCTCGTCGTTCATCGTCGATCGCACAGTTTTAATGTTCTCTCCATTTTGATAAGTTTCTACTATCGGAGAGGGGCAGATAGGGGGGAGAAAATCGTGTCACGAGTGAAATAGTAACCCCGGTGAAAATGGATGGTTTAGGTTGATAAATTCGCCGGTTAGAATAGAAGTAAGGAGGGAAATGTTGGTTTTCCAGACGTATGGCGGAGGAACGTTCGGTCCTAGTGCAGGAGGGCCAGGCGGTGGGCCAGGGGGAGGCGGAGGAGGCGGCGGTGGAGGTGGCGGCGGGGGTGGTGGCGGAAGTGGCGGCGGTGGAGGTGTCGAGGGCGCCACTTACCCCCCGGACTCGCCGTACTTCCCGTTTGGTAGCCGGGGTGTACCGCCCTCCGTGGGGACGCCCACCCCCGCTGCTAACCCTGCAGCACCCACCGGCACCAACGGAGCACGGTTACCAAATTCCACAGCCGGTCAGTTTTCTCTTCAACCTCTCTTTTCTCTCTCTCTCTCTCTCTCTCTCTCATACACACACACTCTCTCTCTCTATTCATCCCGAAATTCGTGGAGAATTGTTTAAACAAATGGGACCGTGTCTCGTTTTCATTGTTTCAGGTGCGGCAGCTGTAAAGAGGAAGAAGGACGTAAGTGTCTTTTTCTAAATCTCTTCTGCCTCGTATCTTTGCCGACTTTTTGTTTCACGAGCTTAACTTGTCCAGTATGAGAAGGAATTAGTCTCTCTTTTCGAATGTAATGTAATTGATCGTGACTTGTCAACGTATGTCCCTGATATTTAACACTCGATCCCTTTTAGTCTCCCGTTGTCCAGATTTATCGATAAGGTTAACGTTTAGATATGGGGAAATTAGCTGATGTGGTACCTTTTTTTTTTCGTTTTCGCAAATTCAGAAAGAGAATTGATGTTGTGCCCGTTTATTTAGCAGGCCCTCGACGGACCGGATGGCGAAGTCGTGACAACACAGCACTGGGTGAGTGACTCGAAAAGATTCGATAAACGCATGCCAGCCAGCTAGTAAATGTGTTTCCTATCCCGACATCGGGATTCGATAACGTACCGGAGACCATATTACGAGTCCGTGGCGGCGCGCGATTGATAAAAGCCACCGACGGAAAAACCATAGAATTAGGTTAGCTCGTAAATTACACGTTTTCTCTCTCTCTCTCTCTCTCTCTCTCTTCATCCTCTCCTCCTCCTCCTCCTTCCTCTCGCAGAGAGTTCTCTCGCGAGCTCTCGAGGAAGACGCTCTCGGATGGTCTCAGGGACCGCTCGTGATCGTAATCTTTACGAGCTGAGTTATATAGAGTATAATGATTTTACCAGTCCAGCTCCGGGATAAAACTCTCGGAGATCTCGAGTCGTTTTCTCGTGAAACGTAATCCACGCTGCTCGCACGCCCCTCGTTTTTTATCCATTGAAATTGATCTGCGATTTTTATTCCTTGACATTCGTTCTTTTAATCTCCTCGTTAACGAACACACACACACACACCGGGATGGGTAAGAAGTTTGTGAGAAGCAAACGGGGGTGAAATCTGTCGCGGTATCTGTTCCTATCGTTGCTGGATAATAGAGTTTGCATCGTGGGGAATCAGCAGTCGACGAAAACACGACACGCGTAGTACGTGCGAGCGAAAGACCAGGCTTTCGGTAAATGGAATATAATATCGATCGATAGGGGAACGTTAAATATTTGTCATCCGCGTTCGTGACTCTCCTTCGAGTGGCAAAGAAAAAGAGTCTAAAACAAATTGCCTCTCGATGATCAAATACACTCTCGCACCTGTTTAAATTCTCCTCCCGCGTGCATCCGCTTAAACTGATTTATCGGAGGATAAATCTGTAGCGGGGGAATAATCGAGGTTTATAATTTCGTTTCTCGTTCGCCTCCGTGGTGAGCCAGTTGTTTGGAGTCTATTCGATTTCCAGAGGCGCATCGTGTCTCGTCAATAAACTACCATTTCCGTGATTACCGGGTAAACAGGGGTAAATATGTCGGCTGCGTGCTCAGAAAAGGGTCGTGGCCGTTGTTTTCGCGCCTTCCCCCGCCCTCGATTATTTCCATTCGTTGAAAGATTCTCGTTTCCCCTCTCGATCCGTTGAAAAATTCACGCCACCGATGCAATGTCGTTCACAATTGTATAACTCTCGAGTGCTTATTTCGACCGAATCAGAGATAAAATTATCGAGCAGTCACCGATATCTAAAATTTCACGAAGCCTCGGGAAGATTCAGGGCCAGCAGGTGATTAAAAGTACGCGATTGGACGTTTCCCTGGAAATTAGTTCGATAACGCCCCTCTGCCATACCAGCGATCGATAAGATTAATTATGACGATTCATTGTTTTCTTTTTCGGCGACGCGTGACTTAACCAATTACGTGGATTCCAATTTTATCGCTTCGATCGCTTCGATAACATCCAAATCGAATAAATTGTAATTTTTTTCTCTACTTTTTCTTTTTTTTTTTTAATCGCGCCGCGTCAAAGTGTCTGCAGATGATTTAATCTGACCGTGATCCTTGGTCTGAAGCAACGCAGACGCGCGTTATCGGTAATTAATTAAAAAGAAAAAATCTATGCATCATCTGTGATACTGTAATTATTTTCATGGCAACAGAGTATCGTTCGCGCTGTTATGGCGAAAAGTCGCGAGGCAATAATGCGTAATGGGGCCAGAACAATAATAAATAAGCGTGGAGAGTCACGGCCAAATAAATCCTCGACTATCCCACGGTGCAGATCGTCGTTAATCCAGCCGATATGGTGTGTTACGCGAACCCTCGACCATACCGTAAGCCTGCTAATAATTTATTCAGCGTGCAGGACTACGCGATTACGTTTCTATTAGGATACGAGCGTTCTAGTGTCCTCGAGGGTGCTGTAACCCGTATTCCCGTTTGCCTCCGTTGGGAGTTTCACTTATCGTTACCACACCGTCCCTTCGTAACGTCCCTTTCTTTTTTTTTTTTCCTACGTCTCTCGACCGTGTCCAGTGGTATGGTGGTTCGTAAGAAAACACAGGGAACCCTGCTTCTTTCTCAAAATATAAATATTATCTTGCTGGCTGAAATAGAACGTCCACACCCCGCTATGGGCGAACAATTTTTATTTAACGATGAAATCTGTAGCAAGAAAAGAAGAAAAATTACGATTCATACTCTCGGTAAATATAAAAATTCCTCGTAATCGATCGTAATCGATCGTAATAAACGGAGCGATAGAACGAAACGAGAGAGAGCATCGTCGTTCCACATTTCTTTACGTACTCGTAAAGGGAAGAATTCCTCGACTCCTCGTTATCTGATCAAGTTTTCGTTAACGTCCGGACGGTGTCGTTGATTTCGGTTAAGATCTCCGAAGAAAAGCGTGTATGCGAGTTATAGGGGGGGGTCATGGGTATCGTGGGACCATATGGTGTCGCGTGCTACAGTCGCCAGACCGTGGAGCCCTTCCAGTTCGCCTCTCCGTGGCTCGCGCTATGGCTGCCCGAATGGCTTCACTGGCTAATTCGTGGCCTCGAGGAATTTCGTGGCTCTGCCTCGAAGAAACCAGGCTCCCGTGTAAGTGGCACGCACTCGCGCGGACCACTGGACCACCTTAAACTTTCGATGGATCATGATCTCTGATCCGATCAGCCGTCTGTCCCAATCCACGTTTCAGGGCTTCTGTGCGTTCACTTGCAGCAACGCGACAGATGCTTCTCCTTTTTTTCTCTCTTCGCATTCGTGTCGCCCACGATTTGTCACGTTCCTGAGCATTACGCGCCTGGAGAATTATGGCTTCTTCTTTCGGTTTCGGAGGATTAACTCGTGGTTGACGATGAACATGTTAATTCGTTGTGTTGTTTGATTGTGACAACGTGTAAATGGAAAATTGCATTGCTCGCGAGCACGTGGGAATCGTAATGATCGGATAGAGGCGCATCGGTGGACTTTGATTGACGGATAAATTGGTAACGCGGGGCTCCCCGATTCCAGTTTACGACGTCAGCAACAACGCAGGTGTTTTCTTCGAAGAAATTAAACTGCACAGCCACTTTTGAGGCTCCGCTTTTAATTGCCTCTTAATATCTCTTGGCCCGCGGAAGGTTTACAACTGCGGCCATTAAGGTCGCTATTTTTGTAGCTCTCCGTGCGAGTTTCGTAACATTCGAGACGAAAAAGAAGAACTCCAATTTCGTGAAGGAGAGAGAGGGAGAGAGAAATCTTTGGAAATTCGAGAAATTCCTCAGGCTGCATTTGTCGAATAACTTTAAAGGTTAGGTTATTAGATCTTATTCCGTGACATGGTCGATAGCGCGTGGAGAATAAATGAACCGAGCAACGATTTTTCTCTAGACATCGTCAAACAGAGAGTAACAGCTTTACGAGCAATTTTCAATATTCATTTGTCTCCTTAGTGACGTTTATCGGCTGCATAACTCGAGAGTCAGCCGAGTGTTACGAACCGAACAGAGAAATAATTCCTAGGCTCTGCTATCGTTTGCGTTCGAGTTTTTCAGACTCCGTACACGCTCTCTCTCTTTCTCTCGCTTATAGAAAATCCACAAAGCTACGAAAACGAGTCTCGTATGTGAGTGGGAACGAAACGACGACGTCGGTTTCTCTCGATTTCAGGGGCCAACATGCCGGAAGAATGCTGTATCATTTATTTAATCGTGCAGCTCATGCTTGGTAATGATCGGTTCGCTACTTGAAGCCTTGGTGATTTGGACGCTGGGGCGCTGAACCTCGTTTCTTTTGTCAGTTTTCGATCAACCATTCCCAAATTACACTCTTTAGAATCGATCAAACGTTCGTCGCACCTAAACTACGGCTAGCCGCGTTATTGTCTCCGATAAGCGACACGAGAGAACCTTCTGACACGCGAGTAGACACAGGACGGGTATCATTTCAGAAGGGCGCTGTCCGTTTGGCGAATCTGTAGATCGGTGGTGGTTGGACAGGGAGCACGGGGCCGTCTCGTCAACGAATCAATTACCGGGAGGAATCGCATGCGGGAAAGGGAGAGAGAGAGGGAATGGAGAAAGAAAGGAAAAAGGGAGGAAGGTCAGCGGCAGCGGGCTCGAGAGGGAGAAAGAGGAGACGGTTTGCTAGAGACGTTGAACGTTGTTTGACGGGCACCTGTTGCTGGTAGCACACGAGCCAGTGTGCCTCCTCTTTGGCTCTTGCACTCGCCTCGCTTACTCTCGCCTCGCCTCTCTCTTTATGCCACTTTGCCTGGCCCCTTCCTTCCTTCCTTCCTTCCTTCCTACCTTCCTACCTTCCTAGCTGCGTGCTATTTTACCTCGTCGCACCTTTTGTTCAAAGTCCTCCTCGCGGCCCGAAAATCCAGAGGGAAGAAGCTGCACACTGGATCGCCGCAGCTCTCTCTTGGCTCTGTTCTATTTAGACGAGTCGAAGCTAGAGCCGGCTCTTGACGGAAATATGTTGAGAATTTTGCGTAATTTACGAGCGCCGCCTCTTTCTCGAACACATGCTATTATTGGATACGCACCGGGCTGACGTAACGTACTAGCGTGTGACTAGAAATCGGGGATTTTTCGCGGGTGTGCCTCGTAAACTGAGACGTCGAACTGTAAATGCACTCTGAGAGAGACCCCTCGTTCCTTATCTTCCTAGGCAAAGTGGTACCCTATCGAGAGACACCCTACAAGCATTTAATTCCTGTAGGAACGATTTTAACCATCGGACACTGGGCCCGATTGTGTTCCATTTTCGTGCTTTACTATCATACTCTCGCCGTAAATTAACCTATCTGATCCTCCACTTTCTATGTAACAAGCCAACTGGTTCTTCGGCTATTTTCGACTCGTTCGTTCCTCCAGGTTGCTTAAAGGGGGTATCGCGAGTCTAAAAGGTATAGGGTTGAATCTCGGGGCTGTTATCGTATTTATCCCCTTTCCTCTTTTCTTTACCTTTCCTCGTCGATCTTTCTCCAGCTATCTCTCTTCCTCTCCCTCTGGTTAT